TTCTAGTTTCTGTTTTTGTATGGTTTCAATTTTCTATTTATTTTGTCATTTTGTTCTTGTATTGTTTTCCTGAACTCTTCTAGCATTTTGTCTAATTTTTTCTTGTTTTTTTCCTGTGTTTTCCTTAGTCTTATCTGTGCTTTCCTTGATTTCTTTGAGGACCCTATATTTGTCCTTTGAATTCCTTATCAGGTAGCTCTATTACCTTTTCTTCCTCAGGGAGGTTTTCTAGTTCTTTATTTTGGTCACTTCCTGGGGCCATCTTACCCTGATTCTTTAGGTGGTTTGCTATTGTCTCTTGTCTCCAGGACATTAAAAGTTTATTGTATTTATTTTTTAATTTTATAATTGCTTTCTGGGTCCTGTTTTTGTTTTGTTTTGATAAATTCTGGCAGGCATGGCTGGCATGGTGCTCTGGTCACTGGACTGCCTGTGTTGGAATGCTCCCTACCTGTCTCCAGGTGAGTGGGGCAGCAGGTAGGTGTGGGAGCTCAGGTCTCTGTTAACTGGTCTTGCAGGGTGGCTGAGGATGGGTTGGTCAGGTTCTGGTCTCTGTCCGTCTTCAGTTCGATGATAACAGGAGTAGGGAGTGGTGCTCTCTGTGCAGGTAAAGTTGCCAGTGTGGTGGGTTTGATGGGCAAGTGGGAGTGTGGTCATCACCTCTTGCTGATTTGGAGGGAGATGTGGGTGGTACAGAGAGAGTGGCGGGTGGATGCGTGCGCAGTCACGCTACCTCCATTTTTTCCTTGGTAGGGGAAGTAAGGAAGGAATTGCAGGCAGATGCACGTGTATTTGTGCCACTTCTACCTGTTGGTGGGTGGGGAGAGGAGGAAGGTGCAGTAGGCAGATGTGTGCACACTCGTGCCACTTCAGCCTCATGTTGGGCAGAGGGGAGGGGGAAAGGGCCTGAGGGGGGAATTGCACACAGTTGCACCACTTCCACCTTGTACCAAGCAGGGAGAGGGAGGAAGGTGTGGCGGATGGATGCATGCGCAGTGGCACCGCCTCCTCTTCACGCCAGGGGGTGGGGCAGGGAGGAAGGGGCAGCAGGGGGGTGCATGCATAGTTGTGTCTCCTCCTCCCCTTTCCGGGACAGGGGAAGGAGGAGGGAGCGATGAGTGGGCTCTCTCATTGACTCGCTGCCCCTGCCCCTTACTGGGTCATTGGAGAGGGTGTAGGTTGCAGGCAGGCTTGCACACAGGGGCACGCCTAGCCTGTTTGTCAGGTGTGCAAGAGGGGGAAGTGGAGGGGGTTGGGCGGGATAGGGGGGAAGAGGAGAGGTTGTACTATAGTCCCCTGGTCAGGTGAGGCACTTGGGGTATGGGACCCTGTGCCGTCTCCGATCAGAAGGATGGGGTGAGGAGGATTGCATCCCTCTGGCTAGAATACATGGGTGCTTGAGCATCTCATGTCTGCTGCAGCCTGCAAGCCAGTCCTGTCCCTGCTTGAGTGTGAGGTGGTGGGGCTGCCTGGGGACCAGTTGGGTGGGAGACCTCCCATCGACACTCTGCAAGTCCACTGCCTCATACGTGCCACTCACCCCAGAGCTCAGGGGCTGCCGCTCCTGAGTATCTCCGGTTCTGGATCCTGGCTCCCTCCCTGCTTCTCCTTCTCTCCGTGTGTGTCTGTAGTGTTTCTCTGTCCCTTTTGGGAAAGTTGTCAAGTTGCCTTCCTGTTTTCTTCACCCAGGGTTGCTGCTGACTTTGTCCTAGGATGGCTGTGTCAGGCAGGGACAACTGGCTGAGCTCCTCCGTTCCGTGTTACTCCTCGTTTGCTGTGTTCACTTGCGTTTTCCTGTCAGTGTTTGATTCAGTTCTTAGACCTTCTTTTTTGATGCTCAGGGTTCCTGGATTGTTATCTGCTCCTGTTTCACTTGTTTTTTTGTGTCTTTGGTGCAGGGGGACATTATGGTGCGTGTGACTAAGCTACCATCTTGGTTCTGCCCTAGATAGCTTTTTTTTTAACCCACTGAATTGACAAAAATTTAGGAGGGATACTATCCAGTGCTGATGAGAAGACAGGAAAACAGCTGCTCTCATTCGCTGCTGGGAACCTAGCAGTATTTATCAGAATTAAAAATCACATATCCTTTTATTCAGCCAAACTACCTTTGGGAGTCTAGCCCACAGAGCTAGAAGTACCAGTAACAGGCTTTTTGTTTTTGTTTTAGTTTTAGGGATCTTCATACACCCCAAAGTAGAGAGAATCATAAAATAAGTCCCATGTGCCCATCACCCAGCCTCAGCAATGAATAGCATTTGGCCGATCTTGGTTTATCCCTCTCGTCAGCTCAGGGTTTTTTCCTGTAGTTCTTTAAAGCTAGTTCCAGACGTTTTATCATTTCTTCTCTACATACTTCAGTATATATCTATAACAGACGAAGGCTTTAAAAAACAAAAGAAACATAGCCACAGTTCCAAACACAGTTAATACTAATTCCTTAATATTATCCAGTCCATATTTAATTTTCTCATTATTGTCTTTTTACAGTTGGTTTACTTGAGTTGGTCCAAACAAGCACCAAACTGCATTTGGTTAATATAGTTAAGTCCTTTTTATTATGTTTTTAATACAGCACTGCCTGTAGCAGTAAACAAAACACAGTAAGTACAACAATGGGAGGGACATCCATAGAGAAGGGAATGCTTTGGCTTCTGGATGGGATTAAAGGGAAGCCAGACAGGTAGAGAATTGTTAATTTTTTCTTTAAGCACCTTTATAGTGTTTCACTTGGTACAAAGTACATGGGCTTTTTTCATTCTTAAATAAAAAATCTTAATAAAGATAAAAAAGGGATAATAAAATTATTGACATTGCCTTCGTTTCTTATAATGTTTTTAATTGGGCAGCTTTAAGTGCCTCTGAGGGTTAGATTAGGGAGAATCCACCTGTTTTTTTACAGAGGTCTACTAGGAGTGGCGTATCAACAGGGCAAGTGTGGGAGGCTAGTGAGATACATCAACAGTATATTGCTTAATTTTGGTTTGGGATAATTTTTATACCACATATGATTATGGTTGGACAATCCTGATGGATAAAAACTTCTGCAAATCTGTTGATGAAGTGCTGTTGCAGTGATGTAGGATTAATGCATTGCTGTCAGTGTGTAACACGGTCTGTTTTCTTTCCTCTCCTCCCACCAGGCTTCAACCATGTTAAGAGCTTCCTTGGTACCTGTGTAAGTAATTGCTCTTATTGTTGTTGTTAGGTGCCAAGCAGTCGACTTTTACATAGCGACCTTATGTGACAGAATGGAACTGCCCCATAGGAAATTAACATTGATAACTAGACCAGACATTCTGTTTTCATAGTACTCCAGACTCCTTTTGTTCAACAAATAAGGACTCTGGGGTGGTCCCTTTCATTTCTACCAGAACTAAGGCAAGTGTTGAGTCAGTCCACACTGTGTGCATCTCTGAACAGAGATCTCTGTTAATTGAAACCAGGCTTCCCCTGGGGTCTTTGACTTGTAGTCCTTCTGTGGAGGGTCTGCAAGTTGTCCTACAGCCCGCCTCATCTCAAAGGGATGTTCCTATGCTGCTTCCTGACCATGCCTTTGTCTTCCTCTTTGGAGGGTCGAAGTGTCCACCCACTGTTCATGGTTGTTTTCTGACCCCTGGTCTGCACTTCACATTCCCCTAGTCTAGAACCTCAGGCTTGAGAGGGACGGGATTCAGGGTTTTAGGTAGAACTCTTGGGGCCTGTGGATGCCCATAGACTTTGGGCTTGGCTCAGGGCTCTAAATAGAACTTTGGTGGAAAGTTATGATGCCTCTGAGGTGACTTCTTCCCCATCGCACAGTGTCCTGGCCTAATATGGACTTGACGTGAGTCCAGCAGGTTCTAACTAAACCTGGTTAGAAGGCCTCCTTATTTTAGAAAAAATGTTATGGCAAACTCCAGTACCTACAACAGAAAAGGCAGAGCTGAGCTGGTTGACACTGGAGTGGGGGCCTAGATCCCAGCTCTGTGTGCAGCCCTGGAGTTAATGCCAGGATCACAGAAAAAACAGCTGGGCCCTTGTCGCATCCTCTCAGGCAGCTCTAAACTGATGTCATGATACTCAGGAGGGCTAATCAATATGCCCTTTTCTTTCTCTTTGAACTTGCTTCGCTCAGTAGGAAATTGAAGGATGTCCCATTACTGCCTTCCCTGGATTATGAGAAACTGAAGAAGGATTTAGTTTTTGGAAGTGACCGCTTGAAAGCTTTCTTGTTACAGGCTCTGCGCTGGGTAGGTACCTTTACCCTTGAAGTTAAAAAAAAAAAAATGATACTGTGGTGGTTTTCTTGGCTGGCTACCTTGCTTGTATCTTTTAACCCAACTACTAAAAACCTTCCTTCCTGCTGCCTATTGATACCGAGAACTGAGGTTAAAAAAGAACATGTGAAGCAGCTTCTGTAGATAGACTTGGCCTCGTTTTTAAAATCTCTGTATTAACAGCACGGTTGCCGTCGGCCTTCACTCAATAATTTGACATATACATTCTCAAGGCCCCAAGAGACAGCTTCTGTCATTGGAGGTGTTTTCTGGTCATCCGGCCGCACTTGGAACTTAGCAGTGGTCACGTGTTAGAACATGTCGTTAAGCCCAGGCCACAATCATGAGCTTTGACCTCTGCAGAGACCTCTGTGGTCACATATTACCATACAGCCACGCCAGCACACAGCAAAGGCAAAAACTAAAAAGTCTTTAAAGGCAATAAGGCCTCGTCTAGATGGTTATTTTTCTCTTTAGCTCTTCAAATTGATCACCGTTTAAGCCACTCATTCTCAAGCTGTGGGCAAGGACCCGAGAGAGTTTTTTTTAATGTGAGTTTTTTTCTACCCATATTTACAATATTAAAATTAAAACTGAGAAAAATGAAAATATATATTCATTCATTTAAAATTAACAATAAAAACCCATTACATGTTAACATAAATAATATTTCTTATGACGAAAGTTTTATTTTCCAAAAAAATTAGTAGAGGAGTGGCATCCTTTTACATTTGTGTAGATTTCTTTAATACCTGGCTTAATAGAGTACAGCTGGTTTCTCACATCTGCTTCTGTCTTCAATTTGTTGCAGTATCCCGCTGCATAGAGCCTCTGAGAGACTGAGCAAGAAAAAGACAAATCACATCTTTGTATTGCTATGAAAATAATTTTGACCTTGTGGACACCCCAAAAGGGTTTTGGGGACCCCCCAGCGTTTCCTGGACTATACTTTGAGAACTGCTGGCCTGAGCCAACACTTGCTTGGCTTTTTGGCTCAACCAAAAAACCAAACCCGTTGCCGTCGAGTCAGTTTTGACTCATAGCAACCCTACAGGCCAGAGTAGAACTGCCCCATAGGGTTTCCAAGGAGGAGCTGATGGATTTGAACTGGTTAGCAGCCAAGCTCTTAACCACTGTGCCACCAGTGCCCTTAACTCAATGGCCCATCCTAACTCACCCTGTCTGAGCGTGGAACCCCTTCATGTCGAACCCCTTCACGGGTCCCTGGATTTCAGGATATTTTGGCATCAGAATGCCTTTGAGCAATTCCCTCATCTCTGCATGGAAAAGGTCTCCTCCCTTCCAATTGTTTGGTAGTACCTCCAGGAATGTGGTCTGGGGAAGTATTCTGAGGAGCCATCCAGGAGCAGCAGGAAGAGTCCTACAATGAGTGATGTCTGTGGGGTTTTGTTTGAGGAGTGGTCAGTTGACTTTTGTGGGTGAGGCAACCTGAGTGATCTGTAGCTCATCCCTGCCCTGGGTGTTTGCCTTTCTGCTCAAGTTATCACACTTACCCTTAGATGCTTCGTCGTTTGCCCACCTAGCACTTCCTATCAGTCCATGCCACTCCTGAGCCTCTGGGTGAGACAGGGTATCCCTTTGCTGAGCGAATGACATTTTCACAGAATAACCTAGAAAAATAAACAGCTTTCTTAGGGTCTTATGTGTGTCCCCCTCCAGTGCCCTGTCCCGCCCCCTGCCCCCCCATGCCTCCACACCAGCCCAGCGCCCCGGCCCTGGCCTCAGTGTACTCAACAGAAAGGCAGCAGCCTTTTACAACT